CTTTCAGGATCTACACAATGGAGAGGACACAACATTGGAGAACAATTGGAAAGGGATTAAGGAGGCAATCACTTCAACATGTCAGGAGGTCCTTGGTCGCAAGAAGCAGCATCACAAGGAATGGATCTCTGTTGATACTCTTGCAAAAATTGAAGAAAGGAGGAACAAGAAAGCAGCAATCAATGTCAGCCGAACAAGAGCGGAGAAAGTTACCGCACAAGCTGCATACACAGAAGCAAACAGGGAAGTGAAGAAGAGCATCAGAGCTGACAAACGAAAATACGTGGAAGATCTAGCAACGACGGCGGAAAAGGCTGCAAGAGACGGAAACTTGAGACAATTGTATGAAACTACAAAGAAGCTCGCCGGGAACTATCGTAAACCAGAACGACCAGTGAAAAGCAAGGAAGGCAAAGTAATCAGCAACACTGAACAACAGCGAAATAGGTGGGTAGAGCACTTTAAGGAACTCCTAAATCGACCAGCTCCACTGAACACACCCAACATCGAAGCAGCATCCACGGATCTCCCAATTAATATTGGAGCACCCACGATTGAGGAGATCAGTATGGCCATCAGACAAATCAAGAACGTCAAAGCAGCAGGACCAGACAACATTCCAGCAGAGGCAATGAAAGCAGATGTAGAAGCAACCGCGAAAATATTTCACATCCTGTTCAAGAAGATTTGGGATGAGGAACAAGTACCATCAGATTGGAAAGAAGGATACCTGATCAAAATACCAAAGAAAGGCGATCTGAACAAGTGTGAGAACTACAGAGGCATCACTCTTCTTTCAATACCAGGCAAAGTCTTCAACAGGGTATTGTTAAACAGAATGAAGGACTTCGTAGACGCCCAACTTCGAGATCAACAGGCCGGATTTCGGAAGGATCGATCGTGTACTGACCAAATTGCTACATTACGGATCATTGTGGAACAATCAATTGAATGGAACTCACCACTCTACATCAACTTCATCGACTTCGAGAAAGCATTTGATAGCGTGGACAGGAAAACACTGTGGACTCTTCTTCGACACTACGGGGTGCCTGAGAAAATAGTTAACATCATACGGAATTCTTATGATGGATTCAACTGCAAAATCGTGCACGGAGGACAGCTAACTGACTCTTTCGAGGTGAAGACCGGTGTCAGGCAAGGTTGCTTACACTCACCCTTTCTCTTTCTCCTGGTGATCGACTGGATTATGAAAACGTCAACATCTGGAGGGAACCACGGTATCAACTGGACAGTTAGGACACTGATGAACGATCTGGACTTCGCAGATGACTTGGCTCTTCTATCGCACACTCAACAACAAATGCAAGAGAAGACGACCAGTGTAGCAGCAGCTTCTGCAGCAGTAGGTCTCAACATACATAAAGGAAAGAGCTAACTTCTCCGATGCAACACAACATGCACCAATCAAATCACTCTTGATGGAGATGCTTTCGAGGACGTTAACACATTTACATATCTGGGCAGCATCATCGACGATAAAGGTGGATCGGATGCAGATGTGAGGGCACGGATTGGCAAAGCAAGGGCTGCATTTCTACAGTTGAAAAATATCTGGAACTCAAAACAGATATCAATCAACACCAAAATCAGGATTTTCAATACAAATGTGAAGACAGTTCTACTGTATGGAGCGGAAACATGGAGAACTACCAAAGCCATCATCCAGAGGATACAAGTGTTTATTAACAGCTGTCTACGTAAAATACTTCGTATTCGTTGGCCAGACACCATCAGCAACAACGAACTGTGGGAGAGAACAAACCAGATTCCAGTGGAGGAGGAAATCAGGAAGAAGCGGTGGAAGTGGATAGGACACACATTGCGGAAAGCACCTAACTGCATCACAAGACAAGCCCTCACATGGAACCCTCAAGGCAAAAGGAAAAGAGGAAGGCCAAGGAACACACTACGCCGAGAAATAGAGAAAGATATGAGAGGAATGAACAAACATTGAACAGAACTGGAGAGAGAAGCCCAGGACAGAGTTGGTTGGAGAAAACTGGTGGGCGGCCTATGCTCCATTTGGGGTAACAGGCGTAAGTAAGTAAGTAAGTAAGTAATTTTTAAAATCGGAAATTATATTCTACAAGATTTCATTTTTAACTCAATCTCTTACATAATTGTAAATCATTATTGTTATTATTACAGGCAATATATAATTAATAAACCCGGTGAGATATCCGTCTATCAACCAAAGGACAAGTCTGTTGAGCAGCAGTTTGCTCCGTCCTAATTTATAGCTGCGAAACATGGTCGGTAAGAGTTGAGAATATTTGTAGGTTATTAGTATTCAATTATAGATATCTTTAAAGCATTGCTCGTGTATCTTCGGACAATGGAGTAAGCAATACTGTTGTTAGGAAACGAGTACTAGGTAGGGATGGCAGATCAGTTGATAAAGTAGTAAAACTTCATCATTTGAGGTGGTTGGGACATGTGCTACGAATGCTTAACCACCGACTGCATCGACGAGCTATGTTTTGTGGTGTAGAAGTAGGTTGGAAAAGAGTGTGGGGAGGCCAAACCAAAACATGACACAATTCTATAAAGTCACTGACAATAGAACGGAGGCATGGTAGTTGGTGTCAACTACCTGGTTGGTGTCCAAGAGAGACGATAGTAACCGATGGTGAGAGACCTTGAATGACATGGTTCGAAATCGTAGCCGGTGGATTTGTTCTTTTTGTTCTCTCAAATCCTATTATTTTGGATTCATCATCACTTCTGCCCTTCTCTTTCTCAATTTATCTAAATGAATTATACTTCTTGAATATAATATCTTCAAATCATAATCTTCTCCATTATCGTTAATGTTTCTACTATCTCTACCACTGTAGGATTTGAACTGACAATTGCATCTCTCTATGTGCGCTAATGTGGTAAGACAACCTGAACTTATTTACGTACGTACATAATTCTACTTTGTAACTGACTAACTGAATATCTTTCGTCATACTAACCTGATACACTTCTTCACTTTTCTATCTTTCAATGTAAATAGACATTCTCTTGAGCAAAAACATATTTCTTGTATGTGTGTGGTGCGCGCTACTTATAAGTAGTATATGACGCGAGTAAAAACGTAATGTCTGGCAGAAGATGGGGGAAGAAGATCAAGAGACGAAAAGCGGGAACACAATGGGATTTGTATGAAACAAACGCATGAATAGTGATTTTTTAGAAAAATACTTTAGCGGTTTTCCCCGTCGAAATGCAAAATGTTACTTCGAAATTGGGTTGCATCGGCACTTGAACTAGTGATAGGAAGTGAAGTAGTCGAGCGTGTAGACCGCCTCACTTATCTGGGGAGTCTCATCAGTGCTGATAGCATGGTGACTGAAGAAATCTCAGCTCGGATAGAGAAAGCTCGATTGGCTTTTGCCAACCTGCGTCACTTATGGCGTAGGCGAGATATCTGTTTGCTAAGCAAAGGACGGGTGTACTGCGCAGCAGTTCGCTCCATTCTCCTATATGGATGCGAAACATGGCCGTTAAGTGTAGGAAATGTTCGTAGGTAGTTGTCGACTACCACCTGGTTGGGGTCCGCGAGACGATAGTCACCTAGGGTTAGAGACGCTGAATGACATGGCTCAAAACCATTTGCAATGTCGCCGGTGCGTTCATTCTTTGTGTTGTCTCAAATTTCAATCTTCTGGATTCTTCAACACCTCTAGTTTTGTCTTTCTAAACTTTTCTCACTGAATCATACTTCTTGAATAATATCTTCTAATCCTTACCTCTCATATTACTTCTAATCCCTTTTACTACCTCTACTATTATTATGAGAGTTGAATTGACAATTGCTTCTCTGTGTGCTGATGTAGTATGACAACATGAACTGATGTACATAAGTACGTACAAAGTTCTACATTTGCCTCTGACTGACTGACTGACTTAAAAGAATAGTGGTGCAGTAGTAAACTTTTGAACTAATACTTGAAACATTTTTCTTTTAAAAAATAAAATCAATGATACCAAAATATCATTCAAATTAATTAAATTTTAATTTTTTATACTATTACAATCTCATCTCAACTTACTCAATAATTGGACAATATCTTATACATGATCTCATGACTAATTCACTTGGTCTTAATTCAATTTCTTTTGGTCCATATTTTAATATTGCATTTCTAATTAAATGTGATCGACATGGTATACCTTGTGAACCAGCGAATGTTTTAAATAATTCTTCTATTTCAACTGCTAATTTATACGGTTTCACTAGATAAAATGAATCAATCAACTGTACATGACAAATACCAATTTTAGTTTGCATACCAATATTTCTTATTACATTCAATCTATCTGGAAATTTATCTTTTAAAGTGCATGGTATACAATCAGACCATTCATACCAATAAGTAAATAATTTTAAATTATGTTCAATTAAATATTGTGGAGCTAATGGTTTTAAGCCATCTTCATCAGTATGTTGTAAGTGATCATCATCATCATTATCATCATGGGATGCTGTATCTACTGAACGTTTTACTTTAACATGATCGTTGCCGCCACTGCCACCGCCACTATCACTCCCTCCTTGATCATCAGTACCATCATGATCATGATCATCACTGCCATCTTGATCATCACTACCATCACTACTATCATGATCATCATGATCGTCCACATTATCTGATGATTCCATTGGTAAAATCACATGACGAAATGGTTCAGCGCCAGGTTTTAATACAGTTACAGACCAGACAGCTAATACATCACCTTTATATAGACATTTATAAATGCCTGTATGTTGAATTTTAGCATATTTTATACGAAATTTATCTTTATTATAATATGTACTAGTTGTATTCGTTGAAATCACTTGTATATCACGACCAGGTTTTTTTACAGTAAAATATAATGATAATGAATTAAATAATTTTAAATTTGTTTCATAATCACGTTGTAAATGTTCTTTTTTATAAATTAATGGTAGATCATCTGACAGTGTAGTGATATTACGCCAAATTCGTTTACGTAATCTGGATAGAAAACACACACAAAAACAAACAATAAATAGATGAAAAAAAAACATGCAAATTGAAAAACATCATATTACGTCTACACGTAAAAACACGTCAACTTGATTGATATACTTGATGAATTACTTACTATATATTATGAGTTAGTTACCCTTAGTGGGGAAAACGAGAGAGCGAGGATCGTTGAATCTGGTGACACGACACGACATGCTATTCAAATCCGATTATCCCCAACCCCCATATATTTAGTTAGTTAAAACGAAGAAGACTTGAATGTGAAGTAGAACGTGTATTCTACAAGCATCCAGAAAGGACGAGGTCCCAGTGCAGAAGAGAATCAGGATCCCGGACTAGGGATCCGGGACCGAGCCCTGGTCCTGGTCGTGGTTGTGGTCATAAAGTGTTACAGATAATGCGTATTTATATATTTTGGTCTATGCAGTGCAATTTGTTACAGCTGCACGTAAAAACACGTCAACTTGATTGATATACTTGATGAATTACTTACTATATTACGAGTTAGTTACCCTTAGTGGGGAAAACGAGAGAGCGAGGATTGTGGATCCGGTGACACGACACGCCATGCTATTCAAATCCGATTATCCCAGTCAGTCAGTCAGTCAGATGCAACTTAGAATTTCGTACGTAAGTACATCAGTTCATGTCGCCATACCACATTAGCACACACAGATGTAATTATCAATTCAAATCCAATAATAGAAGGGGTGGTAAAGGTATCAAAAGTAATCGAAGAGGTTAGGATGAAAAGATATTATTCAAGAAGTATGATTCAGTGAGAAAAGTTTAGAAAGACAAAACTAGAGGTGTTGAAGAATCCAGAAGATTAGGATTTGAGAGAACACAAAGAATAAATGCACCAGCGCCATTGCAAACGATTTCGAGCCATGTCATTCAAGGTCTCTAACCGTCGATTATTATCATCTCACTGACCCTAACCAGGTGGTAGTCGACAACTACCGACATGGCCAAGTCCACTCGTCAATGACTACATGGATTTCTGTCATGTATTGGCTTGGTCGCCCCTAACTTTCTTCCCACCTATTCCTACACTACAAAACAAAGCTCGACGAGGCAGTCGGTGGTTAGGCATACGCAACACATGTTCCAACCACATCAACTGATGAAGTTTCATTACTTCATCTATTGATCTGCCATTCTTACCTAGCACCCGTTTCCTAATAACAGCGTTGCTCACTCGGGTGTCCCACGATATACGAGCAATGCTTCGAAGACACCTATGATCGAAAACCAGTAACCTAAGAATATCTTCTACTCGCATTGACCATGTTTCACAGCCATGAAGTAAGACGGAGCGAACTACTGCACATTAAACTCGTCCTTAGTCAGCAAACAGATATCTCGCCTACGCCATAAGTGACGCAGGTTGGCAAAAGCCAATCGAGCTTTCTGTATCCGAGCTGAGATTTCGTCAGTCACCATGCCATCGGCACTGATGAGACTCCCAAGATAAGTGAAGCGATCCCAACCCCCATATTTAGTTAGTAAAAACAAGAAGACGTGATATGAATTAGAACGTGTATTCTTCAAGCATCCAGAAAGAACGAGGTCCCAGTGCAGAAGAGAATCAGGATTCCGGAGTAGGTATCCGGGACCGAGCCCTGGTCGTGGTCATAAAACATTACAGATAACGCGTATTTATACATTTTGGTCGAATAGAAAACAACATTGAATTCTGTGACATTTACAGTTAAGACGACCACCAATAGGAAGTAGCATTTGAAGTGACAATGATAGTCAGTCAGGACAACCATAAAATTGACCAGTAGAAATTAACCAATAGGAATAGACCAACAATTCTCTTAGGATACTGGATGAATATCCTTACACAATTCAAGATAAACAAGAAGTTTTAACATGGAGTTGTTAGTATTTTTTTTTCTTTCTTGGTTATGATAATGTGAGTGTTAGTGGGATATAGATGAATTAAAGTATGATTGTGTTAGCTGTGAGCTGGCTGATTGGCTAAATGTAATCCGATCAGCACTAGTCAATACGTGGGGTATATTGCAGAAGCTTCTCATGTAAAAACTATAAAGAACTACCAGCGCTGTTCCTATTTCACCTTCGCTTCAGTTTCTTACTACCATTTAACCCTGCTATTTGGAATATAATCTCTATTTCCTATTCAACTGTGTTCTAATTTTGGGGACTTATCGAGTGTATTGTTGTCAAAGATTACTAAGCAATAAGAATAGCTGGGTTCACTAAGGGAGATTTATAACAATAAGGGAGAGGTTTAAAGATTTGTCAAAACTGGCACATTATTGACATCAATTAATGTCACTATGCTCCATGAAATAGTCTATCTAAAAAAATTTTAGGATAAATTATCAATATGAAAAAAGATCATAAGTACTATGTAACTGTACATGTTACATTCTTACTGTTAGGCCGTGACAGTTTTTTACTGACATGCAGAGAGAAACACACAAATTTAATCTTGTTTAAGAGCCGAAAGCATAGTTGCAAAGATTCTCAAAATATAAAACTATGCCTTGGGTGTTAATGATACAAACTCTGTCTACTTCCACACTCTGAATTTGGATTTATTACTGAAATAATGTGGTACGTTAATACACATACATGTCTAAAAATCATTGGTTTCCCCACTATCAATAAACTCTGATTACGCAAAAAAAATTGACCACCGTTAAGTTTAAACCATATAATTTGTCAAACTGTGTCAAACTACACAATATTTCAGTATTACTGATGAAATACTATGACAGAATGCACAAATTATGAACCAATCAATTTTATTTTGAATGAACCAAAAAAAAACTGTGTACTCTGTCTACTTATGTCATTACGTTATAGATTAGTAAGCAGCCTTTTATTTTTTTTCCGATTATTTCCAAAATTAATCATGGGGCGTTGTTAGATTTGTGTGATTAGTGCAACTTCACATTCAAAAAGATATGCTTATGCGTTTATCACATCTTCTTACGTACGGTTTATAACATTTCTAAGCAATAAAGAAAGGTAAGAATTAGGTGAAAAGGATAAAAGATGGATAAATAAAACTCAAACAGAAGAAAGATCACATACAGAACATTTTTCAATTTTAGAGCAAAATGATAAGTCCATCAAGATGGTAATCTATTAATTTATCACAAAGCGGTTTCAGAAATGTAAATTTACATTACATGTATCAATGCTTAATCGTGTAATGTAAAGCACGGTATCCACTGGACAGTTAGGACACTGATGAACGATCTAGACTTCGTAGATGACCTGGCTCTTCTATTGCACACACAACAACAAATGCAAGAGAAGACGACCAGTGTAGCAGCAGCCTCAGCAGCAGTATATGTTTCAACATACATAAAGGAAAAACCGAAATTCTCCGATGCAATACAACATGTACCAACCAAATCACTCTTGATGGAGATGCCTTGGAGGACGTTAACACCTTTACATATCTTCGTAGCATCATCCATAACCAAGGTGGATCTGATGCAGATGTGAGGACGCGGATTGGCGAAGCAAGGGCTTCAGTTCTACAGTTGAAAAATATCTGGAACTCCAAACAACTTTCAACCAAAACCAAACTCAGGATTCTCAATACAAATGTCAAGACAGTTCTACTTTATGAAGCGGAAATTTGGGAAACTACCAAAGCCATCATCCAGAAGATACGAGTATTTATGAACAGTTATCTACGCAAAATACTTCGGATTCGTTGGCCAGACACCATCAGCAACAACCTATTGTGGGAGAAAACAAACCAGATTCCAGTGGAGGAGGAAATCATGAAGAAGCTGTGGAAGTGGATAGGACACACAAACTATGAAAAGCACCTAACTGCATCACAAGACAAGCCCTTACATGGAACCCTTAAGGCTAAAGGAAAAGAGGAAGGCCAAGGAACACATTACGCCAAGAAATAGAGAAAGATATGAGAGGAATGAACGAACATTGGACAGAACTGGAAAGGGAAGCCCAGGACAGAGCTGGTTGGAGGAAACTGGTGGGCGGCCTATACTCGATTGGGGGTAACAGGCGTAAGTAAGTAAGTAAGTAAGTAAGTAAGTAAGTAAGTAAAATTTTTAACCTATTTTCCACTTTGCTTTAATTTTACTCATCGTCTTGAGTCAACGTAAATAATCGGTTACTGAAAATAATAATAATAATAATAATAATAATAATAATAATAATAGTTAATTCAAAAAGTTTATTTGACTCACGTTTACCTAGCTATTACCTGTTGCATGTTTTAAAAGATGTACTCATAATGTATGAACAAACTGATTCTCACAGCTAAACGATAGGTGGAGTTACTCTATACACTTACACTACTGCCATTTATTCATGTTTCTTAGAGCATTCACAATCTGTCATCTGTTTTCCAGCATTCAATTAAGTGAATAATAAATAGTTTCTGAAGATGACTCAAATAGCAAAATTATTGCTATAAAAGCTGATTTTTTTTCCGGAATTATTTGTTTTATTGTATAATAATTTTTGACATACTTTGCAATTTCATTATGGTTAGCTTATGGTCAGACTGGTAAAGATCACATAGTATCCTTACCGATATACATAGCTCAACAGTGTTACAAACAATATCTCTAACCTTTGCTGCATTTAAGTAATTACTACAAGCAATGACAATACTTTTCTTACAAAGAAACGTTTCTTAACCTATTTGAAACTTTACTCTATCAACTCTTAGTTTTATTTAACCATGATGCTTAATGAGTCTTCAGATCATGTCTGTTCACATTTTTCGTTATGAAAGATTCTTGTACACAAATCGATCTATCCTTATCCGTCAGAAAACAGTCTGTCTTTGGATTGAATGAAAACTTATTATAAGCCAAGCGTCACATCATACATTTTCCGTGATAATAACTTAAAGTTTGGTTGATTCGTCGGTTTTATATATTGAATAATTATTTACATATTGTCTTACAGCCAAAAAACAGCGAAATTTGCGGACGATATAAAATATAGAAAATTAGAAGCACATACCTAAGACGAATATGTTCTATTGGGAAAACAGCTAATATTGTATGAAAATTAAAACCACTGGCACCAAGATCATCAGTACTAGCAGGCTCGAATTTTCGAATGAACGAATCGTTATTGCATAATTCATGATATTTGGAGCATTTGGAACAGATGTTACAATCTAACAAAAGTCCATCGCCTTCTGAAAGCAAATAACTTTTGTAACTAGTGAATTTTGGAAAACGTGAACAGTCCAAATGAACGTCCGAACTGTTATAAAATACCGCATAAATGTAAGGCAGAAAAATAAATAATAAAACTAGATGAATATCATTCATTGGTATAAAGTCGCATAAAATACTGTCCAACACAGAAGCACATCAACATATGACAACGTTTGGAATGTTGTTACTGTTTCAATATAGATCCTAATTCTTAGTGAATAAGAATAAACAAAACCGATGATTTTTGATAACTCCACCAAAACGTCTAAAAAGCGACCTGTCAACCCTTCATTGAAAGAAAAGATAAAGTTTTGGCGAAAAATACACAACGGTACATGAGTGGGCGTCTGTCACACGTTGTCATGTGAACATGGCTTGTCATAGTATATTTTTCCGTTCATTCAGGGATCAAAGAAAACAATTCAGAGTATTATTTTTTGAAAGTGTTTGAAATTTAGCCGCTGCGGTTGAAGTGTGTGTTGGGTTTTTGTTGTCCGTTCTGCTTCGCTACATCACATACTTGAAGCTAACAAGTGTTATGTTGGGTTAGTTAATGGTAGACTGAGTAAGCTCACCACAGTGGGTTATATGTAAGTCGCATGTTTCTTGTGCTGTCTAAGAAGTTTGAAAGGTTTCTATTTTCCAGTTAGTTCTGTGGTTCATACATATTAATCCAAATCATCTCTCCCTGTAAACAGTCTACAGCCAAGCATACTACATTTAACTCAGGTATAGCTAGCCTAGATTATTGAGCGAATGATTCGACTAGACATTAAGAATCTAGGTTTGCTGGGTTGTTATGGGGGTTATTTTTTCCATATGGTTGTGTCGACAACGCCTTCAAGACGCCTCAGATACTAAATAGCGTGTTAATACTGATATCAGTCGAGAGTACAAAAGATTTTTTCCATTTTGTAGGCAGCTGGGAAGTGACTATAGCCTTCAGACGCCTAACAACGCATTCTACCAACTTGATCTTAAACAAGTCCTTCCCCACATCGAAATAACTAATTCATTTTTGTAGTGGAACACTTCTACTAAGAAAACGCAGCTGATGAAAAGGAAACATTTATTATTGTACTTCTTTTGTTTAACTGTACTAAAAACACCTACTTACGCGCAACTCTCTGTTTTGCGTTGCTGTCATCATTCGTAACCCGCTGTTCCTTATGTCGCCCACTTTCTCCTTCACATATATTCTCTACCCTGGATTTACCTCTTATCAACTTCACGGGCTAGTAATTAACGATTAGTATTTAGTGGAGATCCTAGTCAGTCTCGACTCGGTTACCAGCAAATGCTCTTCACTAACTAACTACTCAAACACTGCTGGACTAGCCACGTCTTATGGGGAACTGTCGTCGGAACTGATTACTTAAAGTAGTGTAGGTTAGGGCTGTCAACTTTCTCTATTCCATTGACATGCAGTTAGAGACAACACTTTCATTGTCCGACTTTTCAGGAGATCTGCCAAGAGATTCACTTTGTTACTTGGAATGTGCAAACGATATGGAGACCCAAGTCACCAATGAGTAAAATAAAAGCCATAGAGAGACAAACATTTTCGACGATTCCGTTTCCTTAAGCTCTGCGATCATTCCGTGTGTGAATAAGCGGCTGAACATACTGTATGGTTTAAACTACAGGATGGCAATGGCCACTGGTTTACATAGCTTCTTCGACTGTGTTATTTTCGGACCATATCTTCTTACTGTATGTAAGATTGTTACTAATAAGGAACCTTCCGGTCGAACAAAGTGAACAGAATCGACTAGATGTTCCAAAATTGAGCTTCAAACTGACTTCTATGATTCTTTTTGAAGCCAGGTTGAATTATGTTTGATGTTATGTCTCTAGAGAGCTTCCTTAGTCTGGCCCATATTTCTTTCTCCGCTGGATAATTAGTCTCACAGAACTATTTCGGTGATTAACGTTTCAGAATACAATGATGATGATCATCTTAAAAAGGTTTTGATAAAACTTCGAAGAATCCTCGAACATAGGAGAGAAAAGCAAGAAGAAAAATGAGTGTGAAATAGTTCTGGAATATAATAGTGAGGTAAAATGACATGGAACAAAATGGAATGAAACCACTATTAGCTGCAACGAAGTACTATTGGATCATACGAAAGGATCTAGTGAGCTGCGATTGTCGTAAAAGAATGTAATCCTCGTAGTGTTTAGATTTGTTGAATGGATAATATAATTGCATAACTGCCAAAATTTAATGTCAAAATAAATAAGGATTTTAGTCCCCGTACGATTATATCAATAATAGTAAGATGGGGATGGTAAAAATGTTGATGGCAATAATACTGAAAACTATCATGAGGTAATTTTTGAAAAAGACTGATGAGACTAGTTGATACAGGAACAAAATAAGGATATGACGACCTATTTTTTGTTTTTCGCAAGTTCTTGTTGAAGTGACCACTCTACATGCGTCGGAATGGAGATTGCATTGTCTGCAATGTTCATGGAATCTGCTACGGCAAGTATATTCGTCGAATGCAAACAGTTCGAAAGCTTCTTTTATCTGTTACTCTGCAGGTTATGTTAGGTTGTTTAATTTTATGATCACTGATCTGACTCTAATTTGGGCATGCGAGTGATTATGCTAATGAAATGAATCTTTCATCAAACGACAGCGTCATTCAAAATCTCTAACCACTGGTTACGATCGTCTCCTGCACTTCTATCGGGCGTTCTTCAGATGCGAACATGGTTCAGTCCAGTTGCCACTGGCCTCTTTGAATTGTGCCATATATTGGCTTGACCACCTCCACCACGCCTACAAGATACAAGATCTAAAAGTTCTCATCCAGTTAGTCAGTGGTTATGCGTATGTAACATATGTTCCAACCACCTCAACTAGTGAGAGTTCAATGGCTCAACAATTGATCTGCCATCCTTACCTAGTACCCAATTCCTAGCCCTGAACTTCCTGATAAGTGGGCCCAGAAAAAACGAGCAATGCTTCGAAGACATATAGTCGAATACATAACAATATCATCTATTCTTAATGGTAATGTTTCACACCCGTATAGTAGAACGAGGCGAACCATTGAGCAGTGAACTCGTCCTATGTTTAGGAGACGGATATCCCGCCTGAGTCGTAAGTGATGCAAGTTGGAAAAAGCCAGTCAAGCATTCTGTATTCGTGCTGGGATTTCGTCACACTCTAGGCAATAATGGCTGTTGGAAATCTTCGGAGTTTTTCGAAGCAACTATCAAACATCCTGAAACCATCGAGTAGGGATTCCTGAGGTTTTGAATTGTTTTTCAAACATGGATATTCTAGAAAAGGTGCACAAATCAACCGTGTACCCGCTCACCTACTCAGAAACAACGCATATACACTACTTACCGCAGGACATAAAAAGTCAGTGAGTCGTAGTATTTTTGCAAGACGGTATAATTTATTATCTAACAGACTGCCGATTTTATTTGTATCTGTGCCACAATCCCCAGGTCCTAGAAACTACTGACGCTGTTGTTAAAATCTACAGAGATTTATAAAATACTTCTCGAACTCACACCCCATCCCGAAGCACTTTCATGGTTCACCGGATGTTTAGACCGATCTTAAAAACGTCAACAAATCATGAATACATTTCTTCCTTACTTTCCACCTTCGGAGTTTTCTTTATATTTAAAGGCGAACCATTATCTTCTACAAGTTTTTACATCACTTCTTGTCTTTATCCCAATAGACAGTTCAACTACGAAACCTGTAGATGCTGCTTAATTACTGTCGATCGAGAGAAACTCAAACGATCCTGAATAATTGTGAGTTCAATTTAGTTCACATATTACCAGTTTTAGAAATTTTAATACTTCCTATTTATTAGCATTCAAACATCTTGATTTCTTGCTTACTTTTCGCCTTACTCACAAAATTTCAACACTTCATATTCTTTGATTAGCTAACAACCCTTCCCATCTTCAAACTGCCTATTTACTGACCTGCATCTTACAATTATTTAGCCTTTATCGCTATGATATGCTGGATGGATATATAAATAATTATACAGAAGATCAAGCCGTCTTGGTCTCATATGAGTGTGAAAAAGCAGAAACATTACTTTACGACAAGGCCGACAAAATGGAGCATAAACTAAAGCACACATGAGGCATACCACAGGCGTTAGGGAGCGAGTATCATAAAAGGAGGGATGTAGGTGTTTCTGCCCCACGGCCATGATAGCATGACGATAATCTATGTAGAATCCTTTCTGAATGTTTTGTTTTTTGGAAAATCCCTCCATGTTTACATATTTTTGTTATGACATGACGGACTTTTTCTGTTGACATTTTTGGTATTTTATTTGATTCCAATTTGAGATTTTATCATTGTATATTGTTATTATTTCTATATTTTGTACTTATATTGAAGTTTTTGTGTTTGCTTCTGATCTGTATATATGTTGTTTAAATTTGATCTTTAATATGGCTACAGCAATATTTGGATTGATACAGTGGCTGTTGGACTTAACGTCACTTATTTATCGTTGTTTCTGATACTCTTCGGAGTAATTGTATCCTGGAAGGTGTATTAATTCCAGGTACTGCTTGTATTTCCATGTTTTTATTAATAAAGACAGTTTCTCCTAGAATTTTTGCTTTATCGGAACCTTGGACTGGGAGAAACGAGTTCAGGAGTGCACCTATTGGAACCCATTGGAACGGCCACCGTAGAAATCCATTTACAATCTACTCGTGTCTGTTGTGCAGAACATTTTGTTTACTTTAGTCTCCTTGCGATCTGGCAGGATGTAATCGATCAATGATGGTGATGGTACTCTGCTGTGTCAACTACGGCCCAAAAATACTACTGTGAACTTATCTGTGCAATCACGCTGAAAAGCAGTTCACTCGTGACTTTTCAGGCAGCAGTCATAAAACGGCAGTGAATGAAATGTCACTGGGACAAAAAGCCACTGTGCTTTCCTCATAATATTCTGTAGATCCACATAACCCTTGAAAATTTGATTCTTTTGAATCTCCTCTTTTCATACAATCATTTTTTCACGGGTCGCCTCACCAGTGACATGTCTTCATAACTTTACATAAATTTAGTTATGCACTCTGCAAACTTATATCGGAAAGGAAGGGTCTGAGATATCATACCTTCAATTTTTCATTAAAAAAATATCAGTTAATCCGTGACTCAGCTGTGGTCCCAAAAATTTTCAACTCTGCTCCTCGTCTCTTCTCTTTATTTTCTTTCTGCACCACGTCTGATGTCTTCCGTAGGAGTTCTGATATTCACAGTGACTTGCTGTCGTTTTTCCAAGGAACCTGTTAAAATATTATCTGAAAAGTTATGCCGTGAAGGTCAATATACACTTAATTCAACAGTTGTTGCTACTTGCACATCTACACATAACTTGGAGCAGTTCTCAATCACCAGCTGCTCATCGCAGACAGACCACATAACTTGACCCAAGTGATGGATTGTACATCTAACTAACTGAAAAACCCTTCAAAATAAATGTTTAGACACTCGATTAGTTTATGATCTTGCTCATTAACTGGCATGTTTCATGGAACACATTGTTACTTGAGAACAAGTGTAGTTACTGTCATTAGTATCCACTCTTCTACAGATATCACAGATTTCTTTCTAACTGGATGGGTCTATGTTAATGCAGGCTTGACAAGTATTTTTGATGAGTCGTGCTTCATGTTTCATGCGTAAGCCTCATTTCTGTAGCTCGCGTCACCTTGGTTATGCTCACTCATGTACATGCAACTTGCCTAGTGTTGCAAATGTATGACTCGTTTTCGTCCCGATTTATTACTTCGATTATGACCATATTGCATGCTAACACCAAACAGAAGCGATGTTTTAATCGCTTTTTATTGCGATGAAGATTTTATTATCAAGTTTTCAATCACAGGACTAGTGTATCTAAATCAAGTTCTGTACATTCTAGGTGTCTTATTTCATTCTACTTCTCAAGGCAAAGAAGCACACTTTTCTGGATTCTCCAAAACGTACTTAGCAGCTGAATTGTAGTCTAAGTGGCAGTTTATCGTCTGTCTAGATAAAGAATTCAATGAACAGACAGGTCACTTAATGTATTTAGATAAATTTGAGGTTTCAATTCTGAGTTTTTGTCCGAGCGCGATCTTTGATATTTGAAGGTCAATCCTGATGATAATGAACTTCCGCTAGTGCATGTTGCCTATGTTTAAGGCTGAAAAAACAATGATAAGACCAGTAATTTCTAGTGACAGCAACAATGTACTTTTTGAAGAAGACTCAAGTCTCGGCTACTTTATGTTCAACTCACCTACTTCAACTCTAAGTAAGGATCATCAGAATCATTCTCCTCGTCCTTCTCTGGGCTCGTTTGGGTAAGGATGAAAACTTATGATGTTTTTTTTCAAATTTTTAATGACAACTTTTCACTGCATCATCTATATTACTTAAGTCCTGGCTTATAAAAATCGTGCTTCATGGCCATTTTTATAGATACATATAACTTTCTGACGAAATTTTAATAAACAACCGTTTTGCGTTTATGAACATTCTATACTGCTATGTTTTAGTTGTTGTGATCGGATATCATTCTGCCACATTAAGCTGAAAACTAGTGCTAGTATTTTTCTTATCGCTATACTAGCTTAGTAGTTATTGATTATCTTTTTGCTCCTACTCTCCTGGTTAAAAGCTCAATAAACCTATGATAATGTAGGTATTAATTAGTGAATAAATAAAGCAAACATTTCCGTCAATAAATAACGCTGTTTCTGGTGTATACTTGGTTAATAGTCTACCAAAAATTTCGAAATATTAATTGTACAATATCAAGATGTTGAAAATATTACTGTTTTATTTTAATAAAAAGACTTCGCTTATTCAAGGATACTTTGTGTGGATAAAAGTTCTTGTCTACGAATACTAATGGATTCATTTTGTCGTCTATAGCGACTTTTGAGTAAACTAATTATTTAGATAGAATAATTGATCATCAACTTGATAATCATGTAGGTTGTAACTAGTTAAGTCGTGTATTTTGTGTCTTATGCTGATTTTATTACCGAGTTATGGGATCGTATGTTTCTAGTCCCCTAAGGTTCTTCCTAACTCACCTATTCAATTAGTAAGTTTTTGCTTGTTACTGATTCTTTTGTTCACCTATAATTCGATCGTAATTCTAATTAAAATCGAAATGTATGGGATGCTTTTGTGAACAAACTTGTAAAATATTGTTTCAACTGTTGAAAAGTATCAATCTATAGCATGAAGTGTGTGGAATTACCTCATTTTTCAGTAGTTATTTTATGAGTTATTACTTGTAAGTAAGTTAAATTCATTAATCGTACACTAAAAAAAAAATCTTTTTACTGTCCTTCAGTTTAAAATTTGTTCACATTTCAGACTACTTACTAACTAGTCTGTATTTTAAATGAGATAAGACACAATATCAGATATTCTTTGGTTTGTTTATTGAATGAAAAATAAATTTAGACAAAATTATAATCATTTTGTGGTACAAGTTTCACAGTGTGTAATTTATTCAATACAATATGTTCTAAAGTGTTCATGTAAAAATTTAGAAATTCTCGTTTTTAATATAGTTCAATTAGTTTTTAGATTACTCTTTTGATATGTTGCTAAATTTTTTAGTACTTTCTAGTGTTACAAGCTTCATTTTGTACTGGGATTAATACGTATGGTGTTTTCTATTTATAAACAGGAATACTTGAAGTTAGGGACAAAATCAATCAGATATATGTGACTCAAAAAAATGTATACAATTTTTTTCAAAATATTTTTTTACGGTATTTTTACTTTAGATATTTTATGCGTTTAATAATATTATTCAAATTCAGATACTAACTAGCGAATACTAGTAGTCTAGTCGTTTATGTGTTGTTTAAAGTTATAATTATTATTGCCTTGTAATTTGGTAAATTTCAATTTAAATAGTAGTTACACAATATTAAGTTAATTACATTTGAATTGTAATAGTTCACGTTAATTCACGTTAATTCTGTACAGCGAAGAAAATTAACTTGAAAAGTTATAAGCCGAAAAGTTGTAGACATTAAAAGTATTTCTTTATACACAATTTCAATTTTAACCTCATTCGATTTAAATGAGTTCAAGTATCTTAAGACACTTTTTTTTTGTTACAGTCTTATCTAATACATATTTGTTACTAATCAGTTATCGCTTTATGGTTATTCTCGTTAAAAGAACTAGCCAAAGATTTATATTCAAATTCAATTACATAACTTTTAGTTTAACAAGAGAAAGAAAGTCATTTGACACAAAATATCAAACAATATTGCTTTAATCAATTATTAAAAAAATGCTCAAAGATTTTTTAATGAACAAACTTTGTATAATAGGGTTTTGGAGATCGTTGAATAATCCAGAGGTTAGGCATTCACGCACAAAACCGAAGGTCTTGGCTTTAAATCTTGCGAGTTGCAGGAGTGATGGATACCAACTGCCAACAATGCACAGTCCATCAGTGTTTCTAGGTTTCTAATGATAGTCTAACATTGACTGATTCAATATTTCTGATAAGACGTCGACGTCTGGAGGAAAGCACGGTATCAACTGGACAGTTAGGACGCAGCTGGATGATCTGAACTTCGCAGATTACCTGGCTCTTCTATCGCACACACAACAACAAATGCAGGAGAAGACGACCAGTGTAGTAGCAGCCTCTGCAGTAGTAGGTCTCAACATACATAAAGGGAAAACCGAAATTCTCCGATGCAACACAACATGCACCAACCAAATCACTCTTGATGGAGATGCTTTGGAGGACGTTAACACCTTTACATATCTTCGCAGCATCATCGACGAGAAAGGTGGATCCGATGCAGATGTGAGGGCGCTGATTGTCAAAGAGAGGGCTGCATTTCTACAGTTGAAAAATATCTGGAACTCCAAACAACTTTCAACCAAAACCAAACTCAGGATTCTCAATACAAATGTCAAGACAGTTCTACTGTATGGAGCGGAAACCTGGAGAACTACCAAAGCCATCATCCAGAGGATACAAGTGTTTATTAACAGCTGTCTACGCAAAATACTTCAAATTCGTTGGCCAGACACAATCAGCAACAACGTGCTATGGGAGAAAACAAACCAGATTCGACTGGATGAGGAAATCATGAAGAAGCTGTGGAAGTGGATAGGACACACATTACGAAAAGCACCGAACTGCGTCACAAGACAAGCCCTCACATGGAACCCTCAAGGCAAAAGGAAAAGAGGAAGGCCAAAGAATACATTACGCCGAGAAATAGAGAAAGACATGAGAAGAATGAACAAACATTGGACAGAACTGGAAAAAGGAAGCCCAGTAGAGAGTTGGTTGGAGAAAACTGGTCGGCGGCCTTTTCTCCATTGGGAGTTAACAGGCGTAAGTAAGTAAGTAAGTAAGTAAGTAACCCATCATTCTTAATGATCATAACAATTATTCAGTATTTTTTTGTAATCTTGACAAAAACTATTATCATTATTACTTTGATTCTTTCAAATAGTTTTTTTTCAAAGTAAATGTTTTTTTTTTAGTTAAACAACATTGTTTCACTTAAAATGTCCTCATTTATAGAAACACAAAGAAAAAACAAATAGTTTTGTTTATTTTAAGTTTTTTTTATTAATCTATTCGAATTGTTTTAATTGTATTGTACTGTACTGTAAATAAATAAACGATGAATTTTCTTAGTTTTTTTTGAAAAAAATAAAAGAACAAACAGATTACTTGTGCACAACAACTCGCTCGCACACATACATACACACAGACAGACAGACAGACAAAGGAATGAAAACACATGAAATAATTCCGGTTTTTCGAAGTGATGATATGATTATTAGTATTATCATGATGATGATGATGATTGTGAATGATGTATTGTGTCTTCTATTTGCTTTTAGTCTTGAATCTTATTCTGTGTGTGTGTGTTGTTTTTTCAACAGCAACAAAAATCCGATTACTTTAGAAGCGATTTTCGTGCCTACCTACCACCTACCTTATATATACTATACATATAGATTTGCGTTACATCAATACAATGTTAGACTATGATTTACATTTTCTAGTTTTCGTTTCATTTTTCATAGATATATATAAATACAAAAAAATAAATAATAAAGAATTTTTTTTCTCCAAAAAAATAATATTTGTATATCAATGAAAAGTAGTGAGTTGATTTAAAGTTTCATGTCATTTGAAATCATTATCAAAAGTTGTATTTTGAGTTGTTATTTGTTATTTTTTACTGAAATTATTTAGAGTTAAGGTTATCTTGATATGTTTTAATAGTAATAGTTTCTATTTTGTTCATACTTCCCGAAAGTTATATTAGTAACGTGTTACAATAAGCTTGTGTTGACCGCTTCACTTATCTCGGGAGTCTCATCAGTGCTTATGGCCTGATGTCTGATGAAATCTTAGCACAGATACAGAAGGCTCGATTGGCTTTTGCCAACCTGCTTCACTTATGGCGTAGGCGATATATCCGTTTGCTGACTAAAGGACGAGTGTACTGTGCAGTAGTTCTCTCCTCGGTCTTACTTTATGGCTGTGAAACATGGCCAGTGAGAGTAGAAGATATTCGTAGGTTACAAGTTTTCGATCATAGGTGTCTTCGAAGCATTGCTCGTATATCCTGGGACACCCGAGTGAGCAACGCTGTTATTAAGAAACGGGGGCTATGTAAGAATGACAGATCAATAGATGAAGTAATGAAACTTCATCAGTTGAGGTGGTTGGGACATGTACTGCGTACGCCTAACCACCGACTGCCTCGTCGAGCTTTGTTTTGTAGTGTAGGAATAGGTTGGAAGAAAGATAGGGGCGGCCAAATCAAAACATGGCACACATCCATGAAGTCATTGACAAGTGGACTGAGCCATGTTGGTAGTTGTCGACTACCTAGTTGGGGTCCGCGAGATGATGGTTATCGATGGTTAGAGACCCTGAATGACATGGCTCAAAATCGTTCGCAATGGCGCCGGTGTATTTATTCTTTGTACAAAGGGTTCAATTGGCTTTTGCTAACTTGAATCACTTATGGTGTAGTCAAGACATGTGTCTTCTAACTTAAAGATGGGTTTATTGCTCAGCAGTTCGCTCTTTCCTACTTTACGGATGTGAAACATGGTCAGTAAGAAGCGAGGATATTCGTAAGTTACGGGTATTTGATCGTCGGTATCTCAGAAGCACTGCTCGTATATCCTAGAACAATCGAGTAAGTAGTGTTGTTGTTATCAAACGGGTATTAGGTAAGGATGGCAAATCAATGGATGAAGTACTGAATCTTAATCCGTTCAGATGGTTTGGATGTGGCAAATGCAGACTACCTGGCTAGGGTTCGCCAGACAATCGTAACCAGTAGTTAGAGACGTTGAATGACTTGACTCAAAATCGTTTGCTGTAAGGCGGGTGCACCTTTTCTCTGTCTTATCTTGAATTCTGATCTTCTCAATTCCTCAAGACCTTTTTATTTTAGAAATTTATTTTACTGGATAATACTTGTCGAGTCATATCTTTCATCCCTGATCTTTTTGATTGCCTCTCTAATACTTTTACTACCTATAATACTATAGGGTTTGATTTGACAATCTTGTCCCTGTGCTATTGTGGTATGACAAGTTGTACATACTAAGTTCTACGTTACAATTTGAACTACTACTCTTATCTATCATGGTTTTTAGTAGCTAAGATAGTGTAATTTTTGTTGCATACAAGATTAAGTATGATTTATCAATAAAGTTATGAGAAAGATATAGTTCATAAGTTGGTGTACAACTAGTTTCATAATTTCTTATCATATCACATGTATGAGGTCATCATCCAACAAACAAATGTTTTATTCAATTAAAGTGTAACTAAAATTTCTATCATTGCTAATTGAAATTTACTAGCTGGTTCACATTGATTTAAGAGTTGTTTTAGGTTGCTTATTATGAAACGTGAAAGTTTTAAACGACTGTTTATTTCATGAGATTGTGAATTTTTACCGTGTAAGAAGAGTTCAATGCTTTCTTCTTTTCAACCAATGCCGAGTTTGTGGTCATTTTATGATGTGAATTATGAAATACTGATTGGCGGCCTATGCTCCATTAGGGGGTAACAGGTAGTACGTAAGTAAGTAAGTAAGTAAGTAAGTAATGAAATAGCTTAGTATTCCTATGGAAATTCTCAGTTGAATGCAATGACATCAATGTACATGTACAAAAGGAATCACTGTCTAGGCAAGTATGACAATAACTGTCATATCTTACAAGAATAACAAGTTGTAATGTCGTGTACTTTTATTTATTTTTATGTATTTTCCATGTTATGCTATCGGATGAAATTATTTTCACACTGATTAGATTCTCCTATCTCATGTTAATTAGCGCACAATAAGGCTTCAGCGTAGGGCTATTACCCCTAACTAAGGTCTCATCAAAAGTGTAATATAAGAGTGTTTGATCCCATTCTCATGAAGCTGGGCTGCATCTCTTACTATCCTATGCCGTATGATGTTTATACCATGATCCATATTGCTAATTAGAGCTGATGGTTCCCTATGAGATCAGAGGTTTTTTGTGATGAACATTGTGGATGGCTTGGGATTGCTTTGGTAAGTATTGTTAACAGTCCATATACAAAATTGGTTTGCAGGGTGACCGATTTCATTGATACTACTGGTGGTTGTTTTGTAACATTCCTGAGGGCCATTGTCATTGGATTGCTGTTGTATTACATATCACCATTGCTAATAATAATAATCAGTTTGACAGTCATCTAAACAGGATGGGTCGAATTGGCCTGTTCATGCTGTGTAGATTGATCGGCGACGCGATCATAGATCGAAAATGATCACTATATATATGTATTTGGTGTATATAAATGGTGTGAATGGTCCATGACATGGCTCAAAATCGTTTGCAATGGTGCAGGTGCATCCACTCTTTGTGTGCTTTTTAATTCTAACCTTCTGAATTCTTCATAATCTCTATCTTTCTCCTTCTAAATTTACCTCATTGAATTATACTTCTTGAATCATATCTTCGCTCTCTAATCTTCTCCATTACTGCTAATACTTCTACTATCGCTATCACTCTTGGATTTGAACTGAAAGTTGCGTCTATATGCTGATGTGGTATGGCAACCTGAACTGATGTACTCACGTACTAAGTTCTGCGTTGTGTCTGTCTGTGAATGGTCCACCAGGATATCAGGTACCTGTATGATAGCACCACAAGATTGAGCCAAACTGTTCACATGGGCAGTCTCCTTGGTTCTCCTGAGAACAAGTATAAAATTGCCCTTGACAGTAGTAGTGGGCTAATTTATGTAAAAAAATTTATGTATTACATATTCTGATCATTTTAGTAAATGCAACGCTATATGACTTGTTATCTGGCCAGAAAATATTCATCCATTTTTTGAAATCATGATCTAATTGTCTCGTAACATTTTAAGTACCGAATACTACTATCATAAAACCTTTTGGTCACTTGCATTTAAATGTTATCATCTCTAAAAATAGTAGTAAATATTATTTTATCGTAAAGAGTATTCATTTAAAACAAACCCTGTAAATGCCCCAGGTACGCCCAACAGTGGAGAGAGTTCACACTCTCTCTACCTCTAAAAATGCTCTCGTATAGCCACGCGTGTATAGCTACTTACAGGGAGTTTCTACTAAATGCCTTCTCATGGAACAAGTTTTATTCATATGATTGAAGGGATGTAAAATAAATGTTTGGCTTTTGACTAAGTTAGTGGGTACGGATGATCCACTTGAGGGAGTTGGAGCATCCTCATACAAAAACCAATTAGTAGTCAATATGTCCTCTAGGATTCTGACAGAATAAATCGTGTATGAACCTATTGTTAATCTAGTAACTGATGACTAGAGACTTTGAATGACATAGCTTAACACTATTTGCAATGATGCAGGTACATCCATTCTCTTTGTGTTCTCTCAATTTCTATTCCTCTGAATACCTCATGATCATCTTGTTCTACTCAAATTTACTTCCCTAGATTATACTCCTTGACTAATATTTTAAAACCCTAATCTTTCCAATCACTGCTAATACTTCTCCTACCTCTACTACTGTGGTATTTGAATTGAATATTGCATCTCTGTGTGGTAATGCACGTACGTATAAAGTTCTATGTTGTTGGTGACTAACTGACTACCATTCAACTGCATCTCGCGATATTGCTCCGTTGCCTTGTAGAGTAGAATTTTGGATTGATAGTTTGAGGTATGGTCCCCTGAGAAAACCACCGCCTGTTTTTGATCTAGACAATCAGAAAGTATTTCATCTCACTGACGAATTCAATAATTTATGTTTCGTATAATTATTATTCAGCTGTGTGCCTCCTCATGTCAATATGCCAACCTGCGTCACCTATGGCGCAGGCGAGATATGCGTTTGCTGACTAAGGGACAAGTGTACTGTGCAGCAGTTCTCTCCGTCCTACTGTACGGAGGCAAGACTTGGCCGTTAATAGTAGAGGACTTCCGTAGGTTACTAGTCTTCGATCATCGATGTCTCCGAAGCATTGCTCGTATATCCTGGGACAACCGTATAAGCAATGCTATCGTTAGGAAACGAGTTCTAGGTAGGGACGGCAAATCAATAGATGAAGTAGTGAAACTTCATCAGTTGAGGTGGTTGGGACATGTGTTACGTATACCTAACCACCGACTACCTCGACGAGCTATGTTTTGCAGTGTAGGAGTAGATTGGAAGAAAGCTAGGGGCGGCCAGAGAAAAACATGGCACACATCCATGAAGTCACTGACAAGTGTAGTGAGTCATGTTGGTAGATGTAGGCTACGTGGTTGGGGTCCGCGAGACGAAAGTCACCAATGGTTAGAGACCTTGAATGACATCGTTCGAAATGGCGCAGGTGCATCCACTCTTTGTGTTCTCTCTAATTCTAACCTTCTGAATTCCTCATAATCTCTATCTTTCTCCTTCTAAATTTATCTCACTGAAATATATCTTATCTGGCTCCCTAATCTTCTCCATTACTGCTAATACTTCTATTATTGCTGTCACTCTTGGATTTGAACTGACAGTTACGTCTCTGTGCTGATGTGATATGGCAACCTGAACTGATGTACTTACGTACGAAGTTCTGCGTTGTATCTATCTGTCTGTCTGTCATGTCAATATTTATGTGTTTAAATCATTTCAGTTATCCCTTTTAACAACATAGTGTCTTAGTCCCTCTTTGTATTTGTATTTGTATGTGTGCGCGCGCGCGTTTTTTTCTCCTTATTTTTGTTTTAAATCATTGTTTGTTTGTTTTACTTAAATCAGTAGTGAAATTCGTTGTTCGATAGATCAATTAGATGCTGTTATAGCTGCTTATGATATTCATCATCATCCTAATGACAATGGCAGTGATGATTTTAGAACAACTGCACAACAATTATTTCATTCACCTTTATTGAATAATAATACATCGACTTTGACACATACTACTACTAATAATAAAACTGTTATTCATTCAATGGAACAACATGTAAATTATTCAACATTTATGCATTCCCCTTCATTATCAAATCAAATGTCTTGTTTGTTTTATACAAATGATAATAATAATAATAATAATCATTGGAAATTGAACAAAACACTGACGACAACAACAGCCAATAGGAATCAGCCTGCATCATTTGCCACTACTAATAATGGTGTTTCTCATATGAATGAAATGAAAACTTTCCATGCGAATCATGATTATCCATTACACGAGAATCATAATCATCATCATCATGAATATGGGATCGGCGCTTCTTCGTATTCATCATTACCAGTGACATCAACATCATTGTTAATGTCAAATAATAATAATAATAATTATTCAAATGATTATAATGATATTGGTAAGTGTACTACTGGTTATTAATGTAGAGAATTCATATTTCATGTGTAGTCAGCAGTAGGTGATGAGTTACATTTGTTGGTGACTGACAAAATCTCAGGTCAGATACAGAAGGCTTGGTTGGCTTTTGTCAACTTGCGTCACTTATGGTGCAGGCGAGATGTCCGCTTGTTAAACAAAGGACAAGTGTACTGCGCAGCAGTTTTCTGTGTCCTACTATACGGATGTGAAACATGGCCGTTAAGAGTAGAAGATGTTCGTAGGTTACTAGTCTTCGATCATAGGTGTATCCGAAGCATTGCTCGTGTATTATGGGATGACCGAGTAAGCAATGCTGTCGTTAGGAAACGGGTGCTAGGTAAGGATGGCAAATGAATAGATGAAGCATTGAAACTTCATCAGTTGAGGTGGTCAGTCAGTCAATCAGATGCAACGTAGAACTTCGTACTTAAGTACATCAGTTCATGTTGCCATACCACATCAGCACAGAGATATAATTGTCAATTCAAATCCAATAGTAGAAGAGATAGTAAAGGTATTAGAAGTAATCGAAGAGGTTAGGATTAGAAGATATTATTCAAGAAGTATGATTCAGTGAGAAAAGTTTAGAAAGACAAAACTAGAGTTGTTGAAGAATCCAGAAGATTAGGATTTAAGAGAACACAGAAAATAAATGCACCGGCGCCATTGCAAACGATTTTGAGCTGTGTCATTCAGCGTCTCTATGCATCGATTACTAACATATCACAGACCCCAACGAGGTAGTCTACAACTACCGACATGACTCAGTTCACTTGTCAGTGACTTCATAGATTTGTGCCATGTTTTGCTCTGGCCGCCCCTAGCTTTCTTACAACCCTACTCCTACACTACAAAACAAAGCTCGTTGAGGCAGTCAGGTGGTTAGGCATACGCAAGACATGTCCCAACCACCTCAACTGATGAAGTTTCATTACTTCATCTATTAATCTGCCATTCTTACCTAGCACCCGTTTCCTAATAACAGCGTTGCTCACTCGAGTGTCCCAGGATATACGAGCAATGCTTCGAAGACACCTATGATCGAAAACCAATAACCTACGAATATCTTCTACTCTCACTGGCCATGTTTCACAGCCATAAAGTAAGACTGAGGAGCGAACTACTGCACAGTACACTCGTCCTTTAGTCAGCAAACGTGGACAATAAGTATCCTAACTTATATATATATATATATATATTTATATATCATTGATTTCTATAGTTCACAACTATTATTTAGACATCTCTTTTTTTTTCATTCATACCAATAATGGTCTCATTCGGGTTTTTTTTGTTTTAAAAAATTAAAAATTGTTCGAAAATATACGATTGCATTGTTCGTTTTTTAAATTAAAAATGCTTTGTGTGTAAGTAACCTTGATTTGTTGTACATCTGACTAGAAAATATATATTCAATTATCGGTTAATTTTCTTAATGGATGTTGGTTTTTTCTATAAAAAAAAATAACTCATTTATTTTCATAAGAAATTTTGTCCGACTATGTTTTACATTGTTTTTTTAAACAGAAAAAATTTTGTTTTAATGATGAGATTAGTAGTAACAACACTAATGATAATGAAGCAAATTATTTATTCAAGTAGGTAGACACAGGGTTAGGGGTTAGGTGTATGATCATATCAACAATGGTAATGAAGAAGACTAGGGTTTGAAGATATTATTATTCAAGAAGTATAATTCAGTGAGATACGTTTAGACAGATAAAGGTAGAGGTGCTGACGAATCCAGAAGATTAGGATTTGAGAGAGCACAACGAATGGACGCAGTTGCGCCATTGCAAACGATTCTGAGCCATGTCGTTCAAAGTCTCTAACCATTGGTGACTTTCGTCTCGCGGACCCCAACCACGACTACCTGGTTAAGGTCCGAGAGATGATAGTAATCTATGGTTAGAGACATTTTTGAATGAAATGGCTTAAAATTGTTTGCATTGGCACAGGTGCATTCATTCTTTATGTTCTCTCAAATCCCAAAACTTCTTAATTTCTCATCACCTTTAATCTTTCTTCCGTTTAAGTTGATTTCACTAGATTCTACTTCTTGAATGATATGATATTAATACCTCTTCTATCTTTATCACTATGGGATTTGATTTGACATTTGTGTCTCTGTGCTAATAATGTGGTATGGCAACATGAACTTATGTAAATACGTACGAAGTTCTACGTTGCGACTGACTGACTGACTGACTGAACCAGGTAGTCGATACCTACCGACATGACTTAGTCCACTTGTCAGTGACTTCATGGATTTGTGCCATGTTTTTTGATCTGCCTGCCCTTAGCTTTCTTCTAACCTATTCCTACATCGCAAAACATAACTCGATGAGGCCGTAGTCGGTGGTTAGGCATGCGTAACTCATGATAACCCAACCAGAAATTACAAATGAATGCAATACATCTTTAATTTTCCTTTCTATTTTGTATCCATTTAAGATTTACGACATGCAGATTACGACTTCTGCACTTTTTTTCCCCTTACTCTCCTTCCTTTTCAGTCACTTATTATAAGCATTTATATTCTCTCTGTGTGTTTAATAATTAGCCTGCGAGAGTTGCAACAATCTGATCTCTGTCTCCATTTCTCTCTCTCTCTCTCTGAATGCTTTCAAATGGCCATCGGTGTATAGCCATTGTTAGTAGTTTCAGGAGACCAGAAATAACGTTTCATGAACTTGCATCGTTTGCATTAGCTGTGATGTGTGATAAAGGAATATGAGAAGAGTTAGTCGTGGAGATAAGAGAGGTATTAGGGGGGTGTAGGAAGGATTTGATTTTGACTAATTTGGTCTCGTGTGCTGTTACGGGTATATTGGTAGATGTAGGCTACCTGGTTGGGGTCTGCGAGACGAAAGTCACCGATGGTTAGAGACCTTAAGCGACATGGCTCAGAGTCGTTTACAATGGCGCAGGTGCATCCACTCTTTGCGTTCTCGCTAATTCTAACCTTCTGGATTCCTCATAATCTCTACGTTTCTCCTTCTAACCTAATCTCACTGAATTATGCTTCTCAAATCATATCTTCGCTCCCTAATCTTCTCCATTACTGCTAATACTTCTATTATTGCTATCACTGTTGGGTTTGAACTGACAGTTGCGTCTCTGTGCTGATGTGATATGGCAACCTGAACTGATGTACTACGTACGTACGAAGTTCTGCGTTGTATCTGTCTGTTTGTCATTATTAGGAAAATCCTGTTCACTGCCTTCTCATGGTAAGGATGTTGTTTGAGAAATTGACAGGATGAAAAGCAAACATCTGAACAGGGCTTCAACCAGGTTGATGGGTATGGACGATTCACTAAAGGTAGTTGAGAAACTTACGTTTCCGAACCAGTCGTGCATATAGGCTCCATGATTTTCACTGAACAGATGATGTGTGAAGCTACTTTTTGTGAACATCTACCATGAGACTACATCTTGTGGTGTTTCTCTATGTAGCCTTGTGAATTAGACCAGTAGGTGAAAAGTTCGGATAATAGGGACTAACTGCTTCGGTTTTGGGCAGTCAGATTTATAGTATCTTAGCCCATAGGCGAACTTATGGATTTGTTTTGCGCGTATCTATTCACTTTTCTCTTTGTACCACAATGTTTGGGTGCGCGCGTGTGTGTGTGTGTGAAAAACAGTTGTAACTTATATAACAACAGAAAACCTTAATAACTGAATTCGATTGAAAGATAACAACTGTTTTAAATTATTTCAATTTGAATGTGTGTGTGTGTGTGAATGAGATATCGATCATGATAGTGAACGTAAAACAAAAGAGTATGTGCTTCTTTAAAACTATGAATCGATCATTTTTAGATCACTATTAGAAACCTAGAAGCACTGGACAACTGTTTCATCCTAGTGTATGACTCATCTGCAGTGCGTATTCGTGTCTCCCGTTACTCTCGGGAGTCGAACCCAGGAACTTTGATTTTGCACACCAACGCTTAATTTATAGACCGCTCATAATGAGTCCCATACTAGGACAAAATGGCCATCCAGCACTTCGAGGTTTTTAATGGTGGTCTAACAATGATTGATTCATGATTTCAATGAAACGAAAATTACAGAGTTACTCAGTAAAATCGGAAAACCATATCGTAAACGGTTAATTTGCAAATCTTCAATTCATTATCAATCCATTGTCTGACATTTCACTATTGACGCGTTTCATACAAATTCCATTGTGTTCCCACTCTTCTTCCTTTCTTGATCTTCTCCCCATCTTCTGCTGCCAGACATTACGTTTACACTCGCGTCATATACTACTTATAAGTAGCGCGCACCACACTTTGATTTCGCTCACCTACGCCTAATTTCTAGACCACTCATAATGAGTCCTATACTAGGACGAAACGGCAACGGTAGTCTAACAATGATCGATTCATGATTTCAATGAAACTTAATAATCTCTACAACTCTACTATAGCGAAAAAAACAAGATTTTAGTGAAGTGATGTTAAATTCTGTTTGTTCTTATAAAAAGCTACTTCTTAAGGGGATATAAATAGGGAATTCAGTTATAGGGATGATCATAATGTTAATGTGAGAATGTATCCAAACGATAACTGCTTGAGTTCATCAGTGCTGCTAGGTATTTATTTTTAAGACCTTAACTTTCGCTACGGAAATCTGTAGATCAAGATAAGATGTAGGAAGACACAGCATTGTGTTAGAGATTCTAGTTGTCTGAATAAGACACAGATACTATCTTCATGCCCCTAGTAAAGTTAGCAGTATGAATACACTTTCAAATCATGAGTTTAGCGCTTTTAGTTTTTTTCCGAGCTTCAGTCAACCTGGTATACACATAACGAAACAAGGATTCCAAGCAATATGACGATTGAATGGATTCATCATGACAGACGAGTATGATCACCAAATTAAGGTAGGTAGCAATTACCGTTAATCACTTATGAAAAAAAAGTTGGTATACCATATACTTGTAGTTCACTCAACAACTATGAAAAC